ATAATGGTATTTCCTCTGATTCCCAACACCCTGATGATGGTTTCATGAACGGTGTAGCAACAGATACATTGATCTAATTGATCGTCAAAAAAAAAAAAAATAAAATAAAATAAAAATTTTTTTAGTTAAATTATAAAATAATAAATTATAATAATAGATTATATTAAATTTATTATTAATTACCGTACCGTAAAACATTCTATTTTATCTACAATTTCATAGGAAAATTTTCCTACCATTGTAACAACATCACCTTCAGAGAATGGAAGACAATATTTTGTTTGCCTAGCACTTGGTGATATTTTATAACGAATTGTACCGAATTGATTTTCTTCAAATCGATAACGTCCAATTCCATATTCCATACCATTCTGCCGTGATTTTTTATCTATCAGAGCAACAATATGCATAGTTGATGACATGATTAAAAAATTTTTTTTTTTTTTTTTTTTCTAAATTTTCTTTTTTCCTTTTCTAAATTATTGATTTTTTACAAATCTTTCGACAAAAGAATAAAGCCAAAAGGCAAATGGGAAAGAGTTGATGAAAATGGAAAAACGATATATTTTTGATGATATTAAATAAAGAAATTTAAATACGAAGACAAAATAGAGCTTTAAATGTACAGCCGAAGTGCTTAATATAAATTGCCAGATACGGTAAGAGAAGAAGGAGTAGATCAAAATCGAAAAGTCAGAACAAGGAAAAAAAGACTACAGTTTTTTTCTAATTTTACTTTTTAATAAACAAGGGAATCATGATGTAAGGGGGGTTCAATAAATATGTATGCGAGAAATAGTGTGACTAATGGTGTGCCGGAATTCCCAACCAAAATTGTGATGAAAGAGTGAAATTATAGTTTTTTATTGCTTAATCTGGTAAGCGTATAAAAAACTATAAAGCGGCACAAAGGTAGCATGATCCAAAAAAGGAACTCATATTATCAATTGTGAAACATTGAGATGTTAGTTTCACAGATAACATGAATAAGATGCCTATTTTAGTCATCCATTTATGGACCGAAACGAAACGTTCACTAAAATTTTTTTTTTTTCTGAGGAAATCCTTTTCTTTTTTTTGTAGATTTTTTTTTAAAAAAATTCTTATCAAGAAATATATTTTAAGGAATAGCGCCCCCTTCCCCTTTCATTTGAATATATGTATTCTAATAATCAATTAAAAATTCTGATCATTAAATCATTAAAATTAAAATTTTGTTTTTAGTGCTGTCATACTGTACGTATGTACATCTCCTTTCATTTTCTGTAAAAAGCAATTTCTCTGAAAATTATTATAAATTTATGTGTATTTTTCTTTCAAATTTAGAAAATTCGAGTGATCTTAACAAAAAATGAATTAATTATGATCGAACTTTTATCATTTTATTTTATTTTATTATTTTTTTTTATTCTAATTCTATAATAATCGGATATCTCTTTTTCCTTAAAACATTCGTACGTAATTTTCAAATTTTTGGGTTTAAAAAAAGATTAATCACAGTTTTTTTTTAAAGAACATTGTTGACTTATAAAAGAATAGTTCCTTTATCAACATGTGATTCTGAGATTTAAACTTACCTTAAAACTAGAAATTATAATTCATACATACGTAACTTATTACTCAAAGTGAATAACACTCGAAAATTCAACGCCATTAATGATCCCCCGATTTTTCTCTGTCCTATTTCCTATTATGTTTTTTGTTAATTACTTATATATAACCTATTAAATTCTATATTACGTATACGTCAAGTGATTCATTATATGAGTTTCTTTTTTTAATTAGACAAATCAAAAGATACATCAAAGTTTCAGGAAATGAGCAAAAAAATATATATATACGTATATATTTTGATTCCACGAAAACCTTATATGTAAAGTTATTTCCTCAACTGGATTTTAAAAAAAAGTTCCCAAAACATAAAATCCTGTTTTTATACATAAAAAGAATTATTCTAATAACGATAATATTGACATAAAATACTTTATTACGTGTAACATCAAAATAAACAAATTTTTATTAAATTTACATTTAAAGAATTTATTTAAATGTATTTTATTGGATTTTAAATCCGATTATATTTTACCAATTTAAATAGTATTACAAATGCTATTTCCTTCTTTTAGAAAGCTGTAAAAAAAAAAAAAAAAGTTTACAAATTCGAGTAACTAATCACATAAAAAAATATTATGATGCAAAATAATATTTTAAATATAGAATATATTAAAGTTTCGCATGGCCTCGTGTGTGCTGGGCTTGGATACTAATATGGATGTTTTGTTGGACTCGGATTAAAAATCCAGATCCATATTATTATAATATAAAATTGGATTGGGCCCATGGGCCTTTGGATCTGGACTCAAATATTTTGGATAGTCCAAATTTAGTAATAAAGAATTTTGAATACTGTATTTTGATATAGATTTTAAGTGTTTGTCGTTAGAAAAAAAAATAAAATAAGATGTGAATGGTATTTGCGCATTTTATGTCTAGTAAAATTTTGAACTTAATAATCTTTTTATTAAATGAATAAAAAAATAAATAATATTACTGATGAAAAAAATATATATTACAATACAGAAAGAATAAATGCTTCAAGTTTGTCGTTTATTTTAGACCCGCATTATAAAGAATTAAACTATCACCGGCGGTGATCATACCAATGTGTAATTAGTCAATAACGATAAACCAAAAAAAAAAAAAAAAAAAAAAAAAATTCATTTCATTTACTTTTAGGGTTAGGGCGAGGCCTGGGATTTTAGCAAGATATTATATATGTGATTTTTGCTAGGAAAATCGAGTTACGGGACATAGTAAATCATATGTCCTGTGATTTGATTTTCCTACGTAGCAAAGATCCAATATACGATATATGCAATTTAATAAGAAATTTTTTTGTTAGAACATCATCATATGTAGACACCTGATCCTGCCTAATTAGATGGTCACCATTTATTGTCCGGAAGACACTGCACTAAGTGATACAAAAGTTACGTTTCTGATGCATTTCGACTATGAAATTGCTTTTTTGATGCATCTCTATAAATAAAGAACATATCAGAAATGTAATTTGGAAATTTTGTTAGGAACCTCAGAAATTAAAGGGCAGATTATATAATGCGATTGGTCCAAATTATGCCCCGATGTTTACTACTTACAAAATTATGCAAAATACGTAGTAACATTATGTGATTTTTTAAACAAATAATAAATTTTATTTATTTATTTATCGAAATTTAAAAAATCCAACATATTAATTAAATTTTAGACAAATTTTATCTGTTATCAACTAAAATTCTATTATATGTAGGAAAACTATGCTTTACATCTATATCTGAAATAGGTAACCAAAATAAATTAATACTAATTTAAATAAATTTGTTAATAATTATCTAAATCAATTTATTTGTAGAATTTTTTAATTCTTCTAGAGTAATATATGGAGTGTTCCTTTTAAATTTCGGACTGATCCGGATTAATTTAATTTCACGATTTTGATTGGTTAATGGTAACAGGTGATTATCGGGTAATCTCGTGATGCGTTTGCCTTTGGAATACTCGTTAAATATTATCTTGATTTTTTATTATGCAAATCGACTTTCATTTATAATTGAAAAATGTCGATCATGTCAAAATTTATTTGAATCTAATAAAAACTCATTTTTCGAAAAATGTAAAAATGGGCTCTTTTAAAAGGGAATATTTCATATTATAACACAGGTTAAAATAAATTTTTTATAAAAATTTTGTTTCTAAATTAGCTTTATATTAGTTAAATATATAACAACCTATTATCAAGCAGATAGTAAACTAATATGTTATAGATTTTAAGTCAATAGTTCAAAAAAAAGTAATACTATATATCAACTAAATATTATCTACCTATTAGTAACTAATCTTTTTAATATATTTTCTCTTAATACTTACTAATTAGTATCTGATATAAAACTAATATTTTTAATTTTTTTTAGAAAATATTAGCTTTATATTGAATACTAATTGACAAGTATTAAGAGAAAATATATTAAAAATATTTTTTTTTCCACTTAGGCGATCTTGCTCTTCATTTTATTAGGAGAATCATCAAAAGATAATACAGACAATATAAAATACTACATCTTGACATAATACTTTACTATTCTTCTTGTTGCAATTTAGAACTAACTTGGCTGCTCAAATTCGATCTGCTGCAGAAGCATTTTATCTCTTATTAGTAACATACTATCAAAGTAGCAAAGGTTACTAATATATATTTTTTTCATCAGTAATATTATTTATTTTTTTATTCAT